CCTAATGTGAGTGTCCCTATAAAAGCCCTCAGGGCAGAAGAGAAACCTTCTTCTTGAATCTCTGACCTCTTGAATATAGTGGTAACGCGCTATCTACACTCTTAGCTTTTCGCCTTTTCCTTGCTTCTACCGAGTACTGACTTAAGCGTCGGAGCGTTCCCGCTGGGAAACCCCCCGGGAGTTCTTCCTCTTTCCTCTCRTCTCAGGTACCTCTCAGGAGCCATGTAAGTGCCAGTTAGGAGTGACCGGATTGCGTTACATCATTTACATAAACTCTAAAAAAATAATCGATTGATATTTTATGAATTATTGTCAAGTCTTCTTTTTCAAAGTCTCTTATAGCAATACGTATCTTTTGAAATTTTTACTTTTAAAAATAAAAAAAAGGCCTTCCACGAACATGAGATTAATGCATTATTAAAAAATTAATATTCGTTTTTTTATATGAAAAGTAAAGATAACAATTAATCAACTGTACGAATGTAATATATGGACAAATAAACGAATAAATGAATAAAAAAATAAATTAATGCAGTCTCTTTATTATAGAGAAAAACTTTAACTGTTGGGGACAATAACTATGCTGTTGAGAGAATTTTTAAGAATGCCACGTTATTATGATAATGAATGAATTAATAATTACATGTTAATTTTATTTTATTAAAAATTAAAATATATGCGTAAAACTGAACTGCCCAGTCTCAACAATGCTGTTGGGCCCCAACAGCCAAAGTTACCCCTTGCTATTCACTTGGTCGCTATAACCCTATAACCCTTCAGCTTTTCATTATCCTTTTAGTGGATCCTACTGGGGCCCAGTGGCTACTAGCCTACTAGACACTCCAAAGAATGATGATTAGAAGGTCCACGGCGACTGATAAAATGTGGCGCCGCCCGTGTCAGTCTCCTCCACCCCCGGCCCCGAATCTCCTCTCTCTTCTTCCGCCGGGAAGTAATTATTCGCCGGAAACCCATCAAACGATGAACCGTCATAAACGTATCTATTTTCTGGCAAGAACGTCAACGATTCTATCCTCTCGCATCCACCCGCCATGGACACTGAATCCACCACCGCAGTCTCTGCCGTGGCTACCATCGTCCTCCCGGGCCGTACCTCCTCCGGCGCTATTGGAACCTGGTGGGCATAACTAGCTGCCGCAGCCTGAATCTGCGAAGGGGTGAGGTCTCCGGCCGAGGGAATATCCGGAGGTGTCGTGGGAAAGTTGAGCTTGCACGAGGGTCCACGCAAGCAGAAAACGGCTGCGTCGTAGGCTCTAGCAGCCTTATCCGGCGTGTCGTAGGAGCCCAACCAGATTCTATCTCGGCTTTTCGGGAGTCGGACTTCGGCTACCCACTTTCCCCATTTTCTCATTCGAACTCCCTTGTAACCTCCGTTACTTCCCTTAACTGCGTGGTCCTTCCTTTCGGCGCTAAGCAACCCACCACTACCTGTTGATGATGGCTTCACCATACTTGATTACTTGCCCTCGGTTCCGGTACGGTCTCGATTTCGACCAAATCAAATTGGGTCGGTTTGTGAGCTTGAGAAATCGAAGTTGGGTTTGGCGTTTCAAGTTTGGAAACACTGCTGTTGCCCTCTTTTATATTTATATTTAGCCATTTAGGTGTGACTTTTTGAGAGACCGAGTGCAAGATCGCGTTGACGGATATTTGATGACTAAGATAGTGAGCAGACCCACGGAGTAGACACGAGTCAGAAGAAATTTGAAATAAAACAAGGAAATTTCCGGATAACGGCAGAACCAGGAAGGGAGAGGGAGATATAAGTCAGTGAGGTTGTTGGGCGGTTTCTTTAGCTTAGGATTGAGAATTTTTGAGATTCCTTTTTCAGAGTGTTATTTTTTTTTTAAACCACGTGTTAGTAGTTCCTACTTCTTACATGACTTCTAGAAAAAGACGTTTACATGTAATGAAAAAGTAAACGGCAAATCTATGATGTGAAAAAGATATGGTATGGAAAGATTAAGTTCTAGAAAATAATAAATTCTGGATATGATATAAAATAATAAATACTTTGACCGCCGCTAAGTTCTAAAAACGGTAAAGACCAAAGAGGAAAAATACAGAACATTGTTACAGTCCAAATCCTTCCGTCCCTAGGGTGGGTGCCATTAACAACGATTGCAGGACAAAAAATTCTCGTGTTGAAATGTTTATACCAAACTGCTAGCATAGCTCTTCCATATTAAATTTGAGTCCAGGTTCAGTGTCTTTTATTCCGCAAATGAGAATAAAAGTAACAAATCGGCAAATCTTGCTGTTTTGATGACTTCAGTGTATACTATATCCAATTGACTGAGCTAAAGATTCAGAAGTCTTGAAGTTGAGATATGTTCTAGAGCAGAATTAATAAACGTTAATTACACTATAAAAATGAAGCCATTACCGATTCAAATTCAAAATGAGCTGCAGGTGTTTTGAAAAAAGCTCAGTACTAAAGTGAAGAAGTAACGATGGCCACTTGAAATAATTATTTGGTCTGCAATCGTTTGTTAATGCACCAGGTTAGAGGCGGCTTGGTTTGCAACTGTTTTCTTTGTACTCATCAATCAAGATTTCATATGCTTCACACATTTCTTGAGAGTTTTCTATAGCAATGTCTTCACAGACACCTATGGAAGTCGACATTTATGGAGTTATAGATTTGTGCCCATCCACAATAAACTTTTCTAATTTCTTCATCCCATGTTTAAGGAGATATGTGAAATAGAGCGTATAACTCTCTCTATTTGGAGTTCCGATTTCTTCTTCTTTCATTCTATGTTAAACAAAGAAAAGGGGGTTAGGGTTTTATAGACGACATTAAAATTTGCAATGGAATATTGTCTTGTGGTTAAAGTTTTCACTTTTCCTTTTATTATTTTAAGTATTAAAGAGCAAAACTAGAAGATTTAAACTGACCGTTTAAATGGCTTGCATATCTGATAGAGTTCTATACAAATTCTGATGTGTCTCAATTTGATTGGGAGTGCACCCCTGCACAAAGGAAATCCTAACTCTAGAAAATGCTAAGGGAGTTGTTCGGTATGGTGGTTGGTGGGTCCTCCTTTCCTCTCACTGCTTTGACGGTTTATGATATATGAAAAGATATGATATCGGAAAATTTTGTGACCGACCAACTGTTGAAAGTATCATGGACTTTGATCGGTGGATGGTAAAGTCTCCGAAGGCCCTTAGAGGATGGATGGGAAAAGAAAAGAAGGGAGAGAATGATGGATATAGAGGACAGTGGGAAAAGAGCATAGGAGAGAGAGAGAGATCTCCAAAGAAATCGTAGGGTTAGGGTTATATGGTTGTTTGACGTGGGAGAATTTTTTTCCCTTTTTATAGAGAGGACCTTAAGGCTGTAAAGAGAATGATCTAAAATGAGACATTTCCTATTAGGAAAGGAGATCTTTACCTTTATATTGACTATTAAAAGAGCATAATCGGGATTTCGTTACATGTCCAGTAAGATCTTTAAAAAACATAGTTTCCTTTCTCCTCAGGATTCTCACGTGGCACATATAGACTACGTCCCTTTACGGGTTTCCCTATGGCTATGTGTTAAGGATAAGATTTGAATTTGACTAGCGTGCTTAGGTGTTTACTTAATCGCCTTCGAGATGCCTCTTCGAGRTGCCTCATCGTAGCACGCTGTGACAAAAAGGAATGTTGATTTCCCATAAGCGAGTGTCGTTGGCCTCGAGGTCTATCCACCATTCGTTACAGCATGGGTTGTCATTTTGTATCCGTCGCAAGGTGCCATTTTGTGTCAATCGCAAGCCTCTGGCGACACTCATTGCTCATCGTGGGTCCCAAGAGGTGTTTTATGCTCATCGCATGTCTTGGATGGCCCTTTGTGCTCATTGCAGATCCCATAAAGCATTTCATGTCCATCACACGTCTCGACTGGCTTTGAGTGCTCATCACAAGTGTATGAGCTTTCCATTATTTTTATAGTGTTTTTGTACCATTATGGTGGTATCCAAATCGGGATTCCTCTATATGGTTTTCCTTTGACGTCCTCATCGTAATTCCGATGATGATAAACTACATGTACTTACAACCGGTATTATAAACGTGAAACCTTGTATTTATGAAAATTAATGAGTGGGTTTTGATTGGTCAAAGCTTTTTGAGTATCATGTATTTTTAGCAGCATAGATTTTTATTTTATTATACATATATTATTCTTAATATTCTGGTGTATTTTTTAATATAAATTATTTATAAGCTTTTTTAAATATATATTTTATCATGTATAATGTATTTATTGAAATTAAATGGCTTGCAAGTAATTTAATGGATAAAATATTTGAAAATTCTATTCATTTTTTTTTATTAAAGTAACATCTTTATTTTAATTTTTTTTTATTGATGAAAATTTTGTAAGCTTGTGGGTTCCATTTTAACATTTCATGGGTTAACATGCGAATGGGATTGGCATTCTCACATGTGGTATAATAAGAAACTAGCAATACATTGGGTTAAGTAGAAATATGGTTAGGTATGGATTTAGGGTATGGAATAACCCAGGCCTAGGCACAAGCTATATCCCTTATCAGATGTGTAAGGCCCAACCTAGCTAATCCAACCTATGATCACTCTTAATATAGGGCTGTAAGTTGAGTTGCCAAATTTGAAGAATTTTAACTACATCAGGCTTGGGTTGGAGTTAAGGCCCATTAAAGAATTATCAAACTCCCAACCCAACCTGACCCAAGTTGTCCTTAACCTAACCTTTTCCATCAATTCAATCCCTACTTTTATTAAAGAGCCAAAGGAGGTTAACAGAGTCAAAGAGATTTAAGAGGAAATTAGGAATTTAATGGGAGAGGGAAGATGTTTCAAACATTGACTATGGAGAGAGAGAGAGAGAAAGAGCGCAATAATGGATTTTTTTTTTAGAATCAATTAAGGCTTGAGGTTTTTATTGAGTAATGATGGATTTTGTTGAAGGCAATTAAGACCTGAAATTAGGGGTGTTCAATTGGTGAGTTCAGTTTGGTTAAAAAATGAGCCTACTTGTATGCTATATTTATATTAATATTTAGTATTAAAATATATCAACATTTATAATTAAAATACATATTATATATTAATATAAATATATATATATATATATACTAATATTAATATCAAAATTTATGATTAAAATATAAATATATGTATTTTTTTATTAATTCAATTTTCAATTCAGTTTAGTTGAAATTTTGTCCTAATTGAACTGGAAACCAATATTTTTTAAATCACTAAACTGAAAAACGAACAAACCAAACTGAATTGGCTTATTTGGTTTGGTAACCAAATTTAAACACCCCTACCTAAAATAGTTTTAATTTTGGCTTCTTATTTTTGACAATTTAATTTAGAAATAACCAACCACGTGTGAGAAATGAGAGGAGGAGGTATATGCAAGCTTTGTGGTGAGAGGACCCCTTACCTCCCCTCTTTCTTCTTTCTAATCTAGATATAGATAGAATCACTGGAGATGATATTCTAAAATCTATACATAGTAATAGGAAACCAAAGAGATGTTGTTAGGTTAAGTACATTATGACAGATTTTTAAGTTTAAATAGTTTTGTTTTATTTATTAACAACTAAAAATCAAGGTTTTTTTCTTTTGAAATTTAGGGATTATCATTATTAATATAATTTAAAAGTTTCATTGTTATTCAATTTTGATGCTTAATTAGGAGTCAATTCGGACTAGGTTAGGTCGGGTTGAGGTCAACCCTACCCAAGTTGTTGATATTAATACATATATGTATTATAATTAATTGATAAATTAATAATCAAAATTTGCTGCTAATTAACTAAAAGTATTCAAAGTTATTGTTAATATTTAAAATTTTAACAATTGTATTTTTCATTTAATGTTGATTGATTTGTAGAAAATAATTATTGTTAATTTAATATGAACAAATAGTTTTTGATAAATTTAATTTTACTAAACATTTTTAGTAATTTTAATAATTGTTACTATTTTCATTATTTTAAATGAAATTTTGATTGGCTTTAAATAAATAAAAATAATTACAAAAGCTAATATTTTTATTAATTTCACTAATAATTAACAATTATATAGGAATGGCAATGGCGTGGGCCACCCCATCCATGTCCCCGCCTCGTAGTCAAGACAATCTACCCCATCCCTGCCTCGTACCCAGTGTTAGGTGAGTTTAGGGTGAGGCACCCACTCCCCATTAGGGACGGGAAATCCTCGAATTTCCCCACCCCGTCCTTAGTGTTGAGTAAGTTTAGGGCAAGACACCCACTCCAATATTAAATGAATTAATAATTTCATTTTCCAACATTATAATATTTTATCCCTAATGATAGCAGTAACTAAAATTTTATAGTTTGGTAGTTGTTAAATATAATTCTCAATATTATATAAATTAGTTAAAGAGTTTTCAATTTCCATAAAATGTTGTTAATTAACATGAATATAACAGTATTTATTCAAAATATTTTAAAAAGTAATTATGAGTTAATTAATACTAATATTTATTAATTTTTGGTAATTTATTAAATTTTGGTTAATAGTCATTAAATATCGGTTGGATTAGATATTAAATTTATTTAACTATTTATTAATTAATATGAATATTTTAGATGAATAGAGTGGATAGGAGAGATTTTAGGAATATTTTTAGGCAATTCGGTTAGGAATGGTAACATAGCTTAATAGAAATGGTGGAAAGGGGGAGGAGAGAAAGAGAGTATATATAGCGAAGCAGTCCACGTTAGCAAAGCTTCTCCTTGCTCCAATCTCTCCATTCCCCCTTCCCACCAATCTCAAACTGCCACTCAGCAGCATATTTCACGTCATACTGTTGATGAATATAGAAGGAACGTGTTTTGTTAGGAAAACTCGACATTGAATAGACGTGGGAAGTGGATTTCACGTAATTGATTGAACTGTGATTGTTTGAATCATCCTATATGGAAATAGGGAAAAACTATGATATGGAAAAGTTATGATACCAAAACCGACCTACACCGGTTTTATTAATTCTTAATTAATTAATTAATTAGCATTTATTAATTACATTAACAATTAATTAACGTATTTAAGTAAGTTAAGTAGTAATTAATTAATAACTAAATAACTATTAATTACATTAGTTAATAAATAATCATCACTTATTAATAATAATAACCAAAACTTCAATATTTATAAACAATTAAAATAAGTAATGGTTACTGAATATTTACTTTTTATACTTATTTTCAGTAATAATAATATTAATTATTATACTTAATAATTAAATATTATAATACTGAAAATTTGTTACAATAAGTCTGAATTTATAATATTACTAAAAATATTATTATTTTCAGTAATATAATATTATTACTTAATTTAAAATATTATGTCAGTAATTAGTTTCAGCATTTAGTGAAAATAATTACCTACAATAAGTCTGACTTTTCAAAATTTCACATTTTTTATAAATTATTTGTAAATACTGTAAAAGGTAATTATTATGTTAGTAATTATTGTATATTTTTCAGGAAAAAAGTTAAAAACTGAAAAATGATAACTAATTATTTTGAAACCCGAAATTTCAAAATAATTATTGAAAATTACTGAAATTTGTTGATGGTTATTGAAATTACTTATTTTAATTATTGTCAGTAATTATTATTTTCAAATTTTAACATTTTCAGAAATTAATGTAATTAATTAATTACCAATTAATAAAACCACACTAGGTTGATTTTAAATATTGTTTTGAAACCTGAAATTATTGAAAATAAAAAATAATAATATCAAAATGCAAAATTTTAAAACAATTATTGTGAGAACTAGTTAGAATAGTTCTGATAATTGGTGATATTAGTAGTCTTAAGTTCTGAAAATTCTGATGATAATTGGTTTTAAATATTGTTTTGAAATATGAAATTATTGAAAATAAAAATAATAATATCAAAATACAAAAATTAAAAATAGTTACTGAATATTTTTTATATTTTCAAGTATATTTTGTAATATTTATTATAATTTAAAATAACTAATAATTACTGAATATTTTTTATAATTTATTATAACTAATATCAAAATCTAAAAATTCCAAATAATTATTGAAAATTTGAATTGCTGAAAATAGTATTACTTTTCAATAATAGTACTTAAAATAAGTCTAAACTTTCAATAATAAGTCTTATAAGTGTGTAATATTATAAATATTGTTGAAATTTACCCCTTCAACAAATGATATAAGGGTTTAGTTTTCCTTTTAAATTCCTTTGTCATCATAATTGATATTGGTATTTCCACCCCACTAATATTAAATATAGAACTAATCCCAACGTTCACTCCAAAAATCCCTTACCCCTTACCTTTCTTCTTAAATAAATGCCTTCCACCCTATCAGGTCCTGGGAAGGTAGGAAGTAAGGCTCCTTTTGTTAGTGCAGCTCCTTGACGTTGGACTTGAAATCCGAACACAAGGAGCTCTAATTGAAAAGCTGGTGAGGACAATATAGGACTGAGTCCATGCCATAATTGGATGATACCATTTGCTTCAACCTTTATATTTGATTGTCGGTTCTAGATATGATACAATCATGCTTCTCAAGGGGAAAGAAGTATCAAAAGTAGTGGTCATTGTTTGTGGCAAAAGGATCATTTTTGGTTTTCTATTTAGTTGTTGCGAGAGGTTCATCTATGTTGTCTTACTGAAAGGTTTGTTCTATAAATTTGGTTATATTTGTTCTGTACTTGCTTCTCATAGAATCAATACACCAGAAAGAGTAATTTTTTTTTAGCTAGGTATATTAAAAAACACCACTATCTCAGTTGGATTTTTTTTTAGCTAGGTATATTTGTTCTCTCCATTTTGCTTACTCTACCATTCCCTGTCCATATCATACAAGCTCTTTTATAGGGTTCATTACAAACCTACGCTATATATCGAGAGATGTTTCATACTATTACATTTTGCAGGGCTTTTCAAGTATTTCATTAGCTTCCAAAATTTCAAGGAGTGCAACATAAGAGAGCTTGAGAGAGCTGAGTTTATTGGAGGAACTGCCTTAATTATACTAAGAAGGTGTTCGTTTAATCGATTTTTTTTTTAATCTTTTGAAGTTTTAAAGATTTTAGTTTGTTCCTTCTCTCGGAGGTGCATTATACATTTGGTTTGATATGTATTATCACCTAACATGAAGTAGAGAGTCACAACATTCCTCAAGTTAGGATTATGAGATCGATACTTAAGTTGCTAATTTCTAAAGATGTATGATGATGAATCTAATGTTTATTTCCCCTTGATGTACGATTGAATAGTAATAAGTTAGAGGACATTCGACCATAGGGGGGATTCACACGTAACTGCATTTACCTTCACAAGAGGTTAATTTATTTGAAGGCCGCTGATGGCGAGACACTTCTTTAGATTAAGATGACAGATTCTCAGTGAATTGATCTTGCCTATCCCCCATCTCTCCACATTTTCCTCTCAACCTTCTTTCCCTCCCTGGGTGATAAAAATCAATGATAGCTCGGGGGGAAATAAAAACAAAATGGCAGTTTTTATATTTCAGGGTATGGGTTTATGTTTGTGTTTGTTATTTTTATGTTTTCTTTAATGAAGAAAATGACATGTCTTGCTCCAGATACTATAATGCTTTTCTGGTATGATCGCCCTACTGTTCTTACGTCCTTTAATTTTTATTTTTGGTTCTTGCTGCAGGCATTTTCTGCAATTCATGAGCGAATTTTTTTGGCGTTATTAATGGTGGAATATAATTTTTCTTTTGAAGATCTGGGTTTTCACCGTTCATGATATTTGGGTTGTTATTGATGTTGTAGGCGGTGGTTGGATTGAACTATATAAGGGTTGGAGCTTTGCCTCAACGTGCTCACCCTCCTTAATTTGTTGAACCAGTAGATATTTCGATGCATAGGAACTAATTAAGCTGGTTTGATATACCTTTGACATGAATGTTTTGATGTAGTGATTAATTCCAAATTAAAGTTAGAAGTAAGGAAAGTAGAAAAAGAAGTTAATTGTTATGATCAATATTCTTTCCTTTTCGGCATTACCAACTTGAAGAAAAAGTAAAAGGAAAATAAGAGAGAAACCAAAATTTAGGCTTTTGTTATGGAGTTTTTCATGGAATTATTCGAGGTTTGCTGCATTGATAGGTGGAGGGAGCCCATCGGGTCAATATTTTTGGCCATTTTGTCGTTCAGGTTAAAACCATGAAATCCCTATCAATTAACAGGTTTCACACTATGAAGGGCTAGCTGTATTATCTACATGCATGTTAAAATAAAGTTTAGAACAACATTCTTTTCACACATAAAAAGGCCATCGGAGGTCAATGGTTTTGGTTGTTGATCTTGGTCCAAAGTGGTTAAAAGAAGTGTGATTTGAACCTAAATTACCTTAATATATAAACTTAATTAATGTTGTTTTATTGTAACAGTAAAATAATTATTATTTATTGATGTTGTTTTATCTTTTTACACTAATTAAATTATTTTACTGTTATTGTTCACTTTTACGTTGATTTATTATTGATCTTCTTAATTTGACATTAGTTTTTCCCATTCATTTCATGCGGCCCGGCCTTTACCCTTAGAGTATCATCATCATATCATGTCCTTTTGGATATACCATTTTCGGATCCAAGGTTTAATAATCAGATATGGATGTCGGATGTAGCTGGATCCAATACAATTACAAGTTGACCCGAAGTGAGTTATATGTATGATTACATTTCTTTTAATCCTTTCCATTAACATGCATATTCAATATTAAATTTTTACGTTAAACAAAACGTATTTACCATCATGCTCAAGCTCAACAAATTAATTACATCTATTGCGGAACATATATCATATATTAGTTAGATCGACTAAATTACTAAGTATACACTACAACAAAGTATGGCTTAATCATGCCATACCAAAAAATCGGATGACATCACGATATAAAACAGTATAGCTGGGACATCTGCGCCTAAATCAACTTCCCAGCAAAAAAGAGCAGATCGGCCGGCAACTAAAACTCACCGGAATCTCCACTAACGCTGTTACGACTCTTACTAAAAATTCCAAAGAAAGGAGTGTTGAGGATAATATTGATAATCCCCACTACCACTATTTTCGTCCTCATAATCTACAACAGAAGTTGCTGGCGCGGGGAAATAATCACCAGAATAATCGTCAAACCCAGAAAAGGCCCCGAATTCCGACACGCTATCTTCAGAGCCCACCGTCGTCAACATGTCGAAGAACGACCAGTCGATGGAGACATCGCTATCTGCCGGGGCACCTCCATCGGAAACCGACGATGGCGACGGATACTCCAAAAGGGTATCTGTCTGTGTCCTCAACTGAGCGGGAGGTGCCTTGTGCGTCTCATTCTCCCCATTAGCGAACCGAGCCGCAGCGGCCTGAATTTCAGGGGGGGTAAGCGACCGACCACAGGGGATATCAGGTGGGTTATCGGGGAAATTGAATTTCGCATTGCAACCACGTAAGCAAAAGAGGGCAGCGTCGAAGGCCCTCGCTGCCTTCTCGGCGGTGTCGTAGGAACCCAGCCAAATCCTCTCGCGGCTGTTTGGTAGCCGGATTTCGGAAACCCACTTCCCCCACTTACGTTTCCTTACACCCTTATACAGAGAATCGCTTTTCTCAGCAGGTTTTCCGGTTGTCGGTTTCACCATATCCGACGTTGAGAATGGGTTGTGGTCAGAGAGAGATGATAAGCAAACAAGAATTCAGCTTTGGTGATTGGAGAGCAGAATTACGGCTTATTTATATCTTTGCGTTGACCTCGGTCAGTATCTTCCAAGCGTGTTGATGTGGAATTCAAAAAAGCGTACAAAAGGTGTATACGTGGCGGGATGAGAGATGAGATGACGTGGAGTTACGCGGTGTGCAAATGTGTAGATAAAAAGCACGTTTTGTTTACCACGCGTGGGCGTGGCCCGTGCCTCAGTGTCAGACTGTCAGTGGGAGGGTCAGGGCCCAGGGGGCAGGAGCCGGATAAGAGTTGAGACAAAAACAACGAAGATGGTGGGTTCTGCCAACGTACCCTACCCCCCCACCCCACCCAGGCACCCCTCCCTCGTCCTTGCAGGTAAAGTCAAACGAGGGAAACAATACCGACCCAATAATTAAATTAAAATACCGAATTTGAATCTATACTACAATAATCAATGTAACATGGTCAGTAATGAAGGTGTAGGACCCTGAACAAGCCGAGGAGCGGACGGTGGGGTGAGTGGCTTGTGGCTTGTCACTTGTGGGAGGGGAGAAGCGGTTAGACCCGATATGGGCCGCCTAAAGAGGGAATCGGTCGGGTTAAGCGTGATTCTGGTCTCCTATTCGAAAATGGGTCGCCATTGATCTTATGGTTACTTAAATAATGAATGAAGGATTTTTCTAGAATCCTCTAGTTAATTTGCCTTCTCAACATACGTGGTCAGCTGTCAGCCACTGTTCTTTATGTATAAATCTTCGCTGCCTGAGTTTACTATTACGTGACTTGGGTTGGTTCTGAGTTTGGTTTAAGTCGAGTTAATCGGGTATAACCTACCCAATGATCGGGTCCCACCTAATAAGATCCATATATAATTATTGACAATTTGGTCTTTTTTTTCCAGGGCTATATGATTAAAAAGAAAGTTAACAAAATGATTAAAAAGGTCAAATGCGCAAGAAACTGCCAGGTGGGTAAGAAAGAAAAGTCACGTGAGAAAAACCATACAATATTATAATTCATCCCCATCATCATCATCATCAATCAATCAATTCATAACCACATGGATCCATTGTATCAGTCCTGTCATGCGATTCCTATGTGCGTTGTCAACTTTTATTTTAGGTAAATTATCTATTGTCAAGTTATGRCCATAAATCATTTCCAACTACAGCCAAAAAATAAAAGAGGGAAAATCTATACGTGGGAAAATTATGGTTAGTTCTTTTTTTGGATATCATATCTTTTTCATATCATAATTGAATCCAGAACTGTACATTTTGTGTAAGGGTTTATTTTCTTTTAGGCTCAGTTTGTAAGGAGTACAATGCATGCAAAACCATACATTTTGTATTATTTTATATATACTAGTAAAAGTGTATATGACAATATCAATTGATGATGATAATAGTCAACAACCACTTACTGGTTGAACCATTAACCTATTTAACTAGGAAAATGAACTATGATTAAGACATTAATTCATTTTTTTCTTTGTATTTTAATCATTTCTATCTTTACTAACAAAAATTCTTATTTTTCAAACATATTTTTTGTTTAATATGAAGAATATATAATATTAATGCACGTTCAAATTTTTCTATAAAATTTATAAAAAAAATCTATATTTTTATTTTTATTATTTAATTTATGAGATAATAAAAATTACTTATTTACCAAGAGGATATGCAATTCCAATATATTGTTTGAATATTGGGTTTTAATGTTGTGGTCAAATCAATTATTTATATATAATATACATGTTATTTATTATTTATTTATAAATATGTTATTTATGTTGTATTTTTGTAAACTTTTTATATAATGGAAATAGTTGAAGAAATACTTATATTTTTTTGTTTTTGTTTTTTATTTCAACTGTTATGTTTTTCTTTTTTTAATAATTTATTACTTTTAAAAAATATTAAATCAGATCGTATCAAATTCGAATATCTAACATCTTGATCGGATTCGGATTCCGATTCGAATCAATATTATTGAGATCCAATTGAATCTATAGATCAGATCAAATCCGAATCAAATCTGATTTGATTTGTTCGCGTCCCTACCAAACCACTTGCCTACGATGACCTAACTAATTAAATTATTAAATCATTTGACATGGTTAGTCGGGTCATGTGTTAGACATTAATGCCCTTTATTTTTTATCCTAATTTTTACCCATTTCTATCATTAATGAAAATAATTATCATTAATCACACTTTTTTATATGGTGAATATATAATATTATAGAATGTACCCAAAATTATCAATAAATTTATACATTTTCTAGAATTTTATGTATTTTATTATTTAATAATAACATCCATTTGACATGGATAGTTTAACCACCAATCCACCACTTGGATGGAAAAACCATTTTTCCTTTTCGGTTGTTTTTAAATCATGTATTCTATTTTCATCATCGATAAAAGTAATTCTTACATCAAACTGGTTTTAAATTTTGCATTTCATTTATATCATTGATAAAATAATTATTATTTATCATACTTATTTTTGTTTATATTATTAGTATATAATATTATAGATGTGCCCAAAATTATTTCATATTTTTTGTACTATTCTATTTTAAAAAAATTATTTTTAATTATACATCATGGGTTAACCTATTTGACTTGAAAGGTTAAACCACTAACTCATCCCCTAGATAGGAAGATGGTTTAATTTTTCATCGGTTTTAAGTTGTATATTTGATGTCCATCATTAATAAAATTATGTCTATTTTATCATAGTTATTTTTTAATATGACAAATATATAATAATAGAAACCTGTCCAATTGCTTTTTCAAAATTTTTTCTATATTTTTTTGTATTTTTTATATTTCTAAATTTGTATTATTTATTTATGATATCATGAAATTATTCATTTGACCCAAATGGTTGAAGTACTTACCCATGACCTAGATGGAAAATATGATTTCATTTCTAGGTTTATTTTAAAAATATAAAATTCCATTCTATTAATAATTATTGTGTATGAATTTATTAGTGGAATTTAATGATGATAAACATAAGTATTTTTTATATTTTTAAAATTGTATTATTTATTTATGACATCATGAAATTCTCCATTTGACCCAATTGGTTGAACTACTTACCCACTACCAAGATCAAAAATATGATTTCATTTCTGTGTTTATTTTAAAAATATAAAATTTCATTCTATTAATAATTATTGTATATGGATTTTTTAGTGGAATTTAATGATGATAAGCAAAAGTATAAATGTTGGATTCAATGATAGAAAATGTGATTTATTTAATGACTTTAATGTGAGACTTAATGAGAGGTAATTGAATGTACTTAATGGTATTCTTTTAATTCTTTCTACACTTTCAATGGAGATGAACTAAATTCAAGAAAAAAGATATTTCAGAAAAGAAAAATTCCAGAAGCCAATACCTCCTCCTTTGCACATTTATAAGTAGTATAGATATAGATTTGTATTGTTCATATTTGTATTTGCATATTTTCCAAACTGAGATTTAAAGACAAAACCAGAATTAGTGTACAAACATTCCTTGGTAATTTGGATCTATTATTTATGTGTTTCTAATACGGGTACCATTAGAATGGGCTTATGATATTATACTAGTTTATTTCAAGGATTAAAATATCGATGCACACCGATGCTCATGTTTTAAATATTTCAAACACGGTTAAAGCTTATACTCAGTTTTGTTTTTCTTTTTTATTTTATAATGACCAGTGGATTGGAGAAGAGGGCTGCGATGTTTTATATGTGCAAAAAAAAAAAAAAAATCTACACAATGGCATATCCAAATGTATTTGGTTATACAGATATACCTTGTATTAGTTGTATTGATATTTTAGTTAGACAAGACCCGACAAAGTTTTTATAGACTCACACGTCACAAAGGTCCAAACTAACAAAATAGACCAATGGGTAAAATCATTTGGATAATAAATGACTTGCACTTGCACGTGCCAAATATGCAGGTCTTGGTTCCATGAGCCATAGGAATACATAATTGTCTGAGGATCCATTTGATTCGCACTTGGAATAACAATTGGAATTGAAATGGTCTATTTTCATAGCTTGTTTGGTTCAGATAGGTATTGGGATCAGGTAGAATGAGATCTCATTTTCAAGGGAGGGAGAGAGAATGACTGATGAAGGAAGATTTGGCCCGACCTCCTGACCACCCAACACGTGGCAGAAGCAACAGCTCGGCATGGCAGTATGCTCGAGGTGAGAGATCTGAGAGGAGGAACTAACAGTCCGAGCTCCCCAAAAGGAGGCCAAACTCCCCCTTTGACCCTGAGCCTTACGAGGAGCGCAAGGGGCCAAAAACCCGAACTGGCCCGCCCCAAGGCAGTTCAGGCCACACCTCTACCCGAACTCAAGACTTCATCTCGCACACCACCCCAACACTTCGGCTCCAAGCCGCCGAACTAAATAATCGTACCTGACACCAAAGGGGTCCGTATCCTGAGGCAGCGCACCTGACTGACTTAGGATCTGACGCTTGACAGCCGCACTTCAACAGCCACCTGCCACCGCCACCTCTAGTCACAGAGACGACTCTGACAAAAAGAGTAGTGGCGGTTGTCTGCCCCAGCAGAGGTGATGACACCCGAACTGGCAGAAGTGCAGAGGTAATGATGCTCGACCTGACAGGAGCTTGGGAGTGAGTGCGCGAAGTGGTTATAAAAGGCTCTCTTCCCCCCCCCCCCAAGAAGGAGGTATGTGAACTTTGCGCCATCTGGTTTATTATCTTGCCTTTGAGGATACTAACTTGAGCTTCGGAGCACTCTCATCGGGTCCCTCCCCGGAGATACTCGCTTTCTTCCCCGTTTCAGGCACCTTCTGCTCCAGCCAGAGGTAAGATCGTTGACAAATAGGACCGGCCGGATTGTACACCATCAATGACCATTCACTAAAATGGGGGAATGCCATTCCACCAAGAATGGGAATGAGATTCTGATCCTGCCCAACCAAACAGTTGGGGCCATTATGATTCCAATTCCAAACCCCT